GGAGGCGTTTTAAGAAGATGGTAAAGGAGAAATCAAGAGATGTTTAATGAGATATCAAGGAGATGGTTTAAGGGGATGATTTAAGGGGAAATTAAGGAGATATTAAGGAGATATTAAGGAAGACATAAAAGGAGATGTATCACAAAACATGGAGATATGAAGGCAATTCTAACAGGGTGTCTGTGATCATTCCAGTCTGACCAAAGACATGACAGGGAAGGAGGATGTTTACCGTGGGCCGGCCATCCGAGCGCTGTGCAGGATCACTGACGTGAGTACAAACCACCTCCCTGCCCTGGGAAACACGAGTGGGTTTGAACCACAAAAGGCTGCTTTTATTTCTGCTGCTTTTATTCTCTTCCTCCAAAGCACCCACACTTTTTTTCCCTCCTTTTCCCCTTCCCAGGGAACAATGTTGCAGGCCATCGAGAGATACATGAAACAAGCCATCGTGGACAAAGTCCCCAGTGTGTCCAGTTCTGCTCTGGTGTCTTCCCTGGTAAGTAAAGCACTAAATTATTTTAAGTCTGGGCTGGAATTAGTCTGTTTGGTTCTTTCTTCATCTCCTTTTCCCTTGAGATGAGTCTCCATCTCCTTTTCCCTTGAGTTGAGTCTTCACCTCCTTTTCCCTTGAGATGAGTCTCCATCTCCTTTTCCCTTGAGATGAGTCTCCATCTCCTTTTCCCTTGAGATGACCCTTCATGTCCTTTTCCTTTGAGATGACCCTTCATCTCTTTTTCCCTTGAGTTGAGTCTTCATCTCCTTTTCCCTTTGAGATGAGTCTTCATCTCCTTTTCCCTTTGAGATGAGTCTCCATCTCCTTTTCCTTTGAGTTGACCCTTCATCTCCTTTTCCCTTGAGATGAGTCTCCGTCTCCTTTTCCCTTGAGTTGAGTCTTCACCTCCTTTTCCCTTGAGTTGAGTCTCCATCTCCTTTTCCCTTGAGATGAGCCTTCATCTCCTCACTGGGACATAAAAATAGTGGCAATGGAGTTTCCTTTGGCTCCTCAAAGTCCTGGGCTGGGATTTGTCTGTTTGGTTCTTTCTTCATCTCCTTTTCCCTTGAGATGAGTCTCCATCTACTTTTCCCTTTGAGATGGCCCTTCATCTCCTTTTCCCTTGTGATGACCCTTCATCTCCTTTTCCCTTGAGTTGACCCGTCAGCTCCTTTTCCCTTGAGATGAGTCTCCATCTCCTTTTCCCTTGAGTTGACCCTTCATGTCCTTTTCCTTTGAAATGACCCTTCATCTCCTCACTGGGACATAAAAATAGTGGCAGTGGAGTTTTCCTTTGGCTCCTCAAACTCCTGGGCTGGAATTAGTCTGTTTGGTTCTCTCTTCATCTCCTTTTCCCTTGAGATGAGTCTCCATCTCCTTTTCCCTTGAG